AGGTTGCTCAGAGCCCCATCCAGCCTGGCCTTAAACACTTCCAGCGATGGAGCACACAAAACTTCTCTAAACAACCTATTCCAGTGCCTCACCACCCTCACAAGGAAGAATTTCTTCCTAATATCAAATTTAAACCTGCCTTCTTCCAGTTTAGAGACATTCCTCCTTGTCCTCTCACTACATACTCATGTAAAAGGTCCCTATCCATGGGTTTTGTAACCACTTTAGGTACTGAGAGGCTGCAATAAGGTTCTTTTCCAGACTGAATGATCCCACGGTGGAGTTACCATTCCTGGATGTGTTTTTAACAAAAGACTGGATGTGGCACTTGGTGCCATGGTTTAGTTGAGCTGTAGAGGCATAGGTTGGACTTGATGATCTTGGAGGTCTCTTCCAACCTAGTGATTCTGTGAATTCTGTGAAGTGTGGCAAAAAGGGAGCCAAAACAGGTGTCCTTATATGGCATGACAATGGCAAAACTCCAGGTGTCATTTGAGTGCCTGTGGTAGGTAGTTCCATGGCTGACAAGTTTGCATCAGCACCTAATCATGTAGCTGAGGCTTCACCCTGAAGTGGTCACGTCTGAAGGATGCTGACACCAAACAGATGTCTGGTTTCCTATTCTCTTTCAGGGAGTTCAGTAAGAGAATTGCCTTTATTCTTGAGACGTTGGACTTCCTAAATTTACAGTATCCTCAGGAACTCTTTGTTAAACTTTGCTTTAGACCACCTGTTGTTTAGAACTTGGCAAAACAAATTCTAAACTGTTTTTTCTGCTGTACTTTTAACTTTGTTTTGATTCTGTTCCCATGTAATTTCTTCCAGGCATACTGTTTCATTTGGTTTGACTAAAATATTTTTCCTTAATGATTCATCTAGCTAGTAGTTTCAGTTTACAGCTGTGAGTATTTATCAAATGGAAAGTGTGGGTTTTTGGAGTTTACTTCCAAACAAACATAGCTACTGACATGTAAAAGCAGCTTTTTTTTTTTCTTTTTTTTTATTTCTGGTCTTTAAAAAGCAGCCTGAATAGAAGGTTTACTGGTACAGTAATATGTCATCTTTTCACTACTGCTTTTTATATAGTGAATTAACAATCCAAAGCTGAAGACTCGGATTCTGAATATTTGGCACAGATGTTTCTTGAAGGATGTCTAAGGGAAGAGATGCTATAGCTTTAAACACTTCTCCTATCTTTCTGTTTGATCACAATATATAATGGTTTTAATATAGTCAGCTGTCTCTGCACCACCTTACATTAGTGTTTGAACTCCACAGCTTCTTGAAAAGGGTCATGTATTATGTGTGGTTTGTGTGTGTGAGGAAGAGGGCTGTGTGTATGTTGAACTTCTTTCTCTCCCTTTCTCCCCCTCTTTCTCATATTTTCTACTTAATTGTATTGTATAATATAATCTCCATGTATTCTTTAAATCCCTTGATGTAAGGGTAAATAGGGAGACTTTGTGCAATTGCAAGCTCCCAGTAAAAAGCATGCAAAGTAATTCTGTAATGACTTCCATAGTGGAAAGTCATGCCATGGTCCTGCTCCAGAAGTCATAAAATGTGTTTTCCTTTTCTGGCTTCAAATTCTGTGAATATTTTGATCATTGAATATTTTGAGCTGCATGACACTTGTATTAATGAGAAGGAGAGAAATTTCCAGGCCCATGAAACAGCAAATATTGGTGGTGAATTTCATGTACTATAGCTGTTTTGTGTCCAGACTGAAGAGGTTGATGAGACAGCAATTTGTAAATAATTTGTAAATTATCCACACATTGGGCACCTAGAAAGGCTTCCTTTTGAAATGTTATCAAGTGTTAGCTGCTGTCAAGAGTCTCAGAAAATAATGCTCCTCCCCATCATGAAGGAAGATGCTATTTCAAGAGATAAATGTGATTTGTTAACTGTTGGCATCTAGAATATGGGGGAAGAGGGGGCAAGAGGGGTAATGTTCTAGAAATATGGTTTGGGTAAAAGTCACATGTTAATTTTTTTCCTATGAATCTAAATAGGACCTAATAGGTTAAAAAGAAAATTACTTGCTTATTCCAGGCTGTTCTAGACCAAGCTTGAGCAAAAAAAAAAAAAAACCAAAAAAACAGAAAAAAAAAACCAGAACAAAACAAAACAAAAGAAGGAGCTGGGCTGTGTGTAGACTTGCAGAAGAAATGGTTGCTTTGGGAGGAGCTGGAGAAATGGTTTCCTCCTCTGCTTTCAACAGGCTTATACAGATTATTATTACAATTTCTTTCTTTAAAGTTCAGTAGGAAAGTTTTCTTTCTTGGAGGGATGAAAAAATTTTCTAAGTGCTATTTGTAGTGCAAATATTTTTTTGCTATTTCAGTATTCTCAGAGTATGTAAATGTCATTGTTAGAATTCTTCATGTCTTATTTGTTTCATATTATAAACTTCTGATTATAACTCTTTGGGGTAACAAAGTGGATAAAATTGAAACCTATTACAGACAGGATAGCTATACACAATTTGCATCTTTTGGTAATGTGCACACATGGAGTTTCACTTTGCACTGTCAGGTGAGGCTTTGTTCTTTTAGACACAAGAATTGTTGGACATGTATTTGGATGGGCATGTGAGATAGCTAGAAAGCACCACAGAGAATCCATGTTGGAGCAGGCTCCTGGCAGTAACTGTGACCTTTAGAAAGCAGGCTATGCTGGAGTAGAGGAGAGCATGAAGAAGAAGAAGCAGCAGAGAAGAGCACATTCCCACAACTACTGCATTTACTCTGTTTTAAACTGGCAGTAATTAGTTTTTCCTAAATTTAGTCTGTTCTGTGATGGTAACTGCTAACTAAACTCCCTGAGTCCCTGTCTTTCTCTTGATCCACAAGCTTTTTAATCTTATTTTCTCCTTGGTTGTGTTGAGGAGGATGGGTGAGAGAGCAGCTATGTGGGTGTCTGGCAGCCCCCCAAGGTCAGCCCACCACAATACACAGTGAATGAATAACTGAACTCTTGCTACAACACCAGGGACTCAGACATCATTTCTGAGTGTTGCTCCATGACTCAGAGGCAGTGATTATAGATACCTGTGGAACTGTAATTTGTATTTTTAAAGGATGCTGAAAAAACTCTAGAAAATTAAGGAGGAAAAAGGCCATAGGAACAGAATGAATGAAGAATCCCCTCTGTTGTGTTCCTTAAACCACAAGGAATGATCTTTAATTGAGAAGAAAACTATGATAGGGTACTATGGTGTATGGGACCAGTGCTGTTTAATGTCTTCATTATTGACATAGACAAAGGGATCGAGTGCACCCTTGGCAGATTTGCTGGTGACACCAAGATGAGTGGTGCTGTTGCTCCACTTGAAGGATTTGATTGTCATCCAGAAGGACCTGGACTAGTTCAAGAAGTGGCCCATGGGAATGTCATGAGGTTTAAAAAGACTGAATTCAAGGTGCTCCACCTGGGTCAGGCTAACCCCTGGTATCAATCCTTTGCACTAGGACACGAAATAACTTACACACTCACACTAAGATTAAAAGAGTAAAAGGAAGAAACTTTTATTTCTTTGTAATATATATAATTTTAAAAGTGATAGTGGATTGGAGGAAGAAATTGCTATCTCTCGACTACACTGGTTAAACTAACAGTCTATCAATTCTCTCCTCCCACAAAGAATGAAAAACAATTATTATTTACATGAACAGTATGTGAGAACTGTAGTAGAAATCTGTAAACATCAGAAGGCATAGAAAACTTTTAAAAGAACTTAAGAATCAAGAGATTATTAATTTGTTTGTGTCTTCAGGTCAAGACTAGATATTCATCTGCTAGGGTATGTGCAACTCTTCCCCCATCAAGCAGGAGAAAGAGAAATTAATTATTTAGGGATAGATGAAGGAGATGTGTGCTTAAGAATGTCTAATCTTGCTATTTTCCTAGTTTCTGTCAGTTGTTTTTGACTAAGTTAAGTTTCTAAACATTGATGGAAACAGGTTCTCAGTTCTTGCCCATACTTGCTGTAGCAATTGTTCAGCTGGCTGATGCAGACGGAGGAACTGGACTGCATTAGAAGTGTCTGTGCTGTCTTCAAAACTAGTACTAAACCAAGAGAACTTGAGATGCTTTTGAGGGAAAAAAAAAGTAGACCTGTGTAAAGAACTGTGATCAGCTGTTGTTAAGCACTTGCTAGCCTGATGTGGATTAATTATAATATCTGTGCCCAATTCCTGGTAGCTGGGTGGGGGTTGATGTAGGTCTAGTGGTTATTTCACGTTCTTTCTGGAATTTCAGTGCTCCCAATACATGAGTGTGAGGAACCAATTTAATTTTGAGTTCTGTCTCAATATTGTTTGAAATTATGGGAGATGTGGGGGGAGGGGCTGTACAAGTGCTACTTGCAGGAGGCAGCTAGGAGAAGATTTCACATAATTCCATCCTTAGCCATCTGTTTTAGAAGAACCCCCTGCAGTTCCCCCTTAGTGGAATGCAACAATGAGATATCCAAGAGTGTATGGGGATTTTTTTTCTTTCTTTGAGTTAAAACTAGATAAATCTTGATTATCTTCCTTCCCTTTTCAAGAAGAATTTGAGATAATTGCCAATTACTGTACATATTTTTTACCCTGTAGAATCTCTAAGTGGTATTTAGAAAATGTGCATGCCTTGTATTAAGGATGTTATAGAAAATATACTTATGGATTAATAGATATCTCCCCAGTTATAAACAGACATGACCATAGCATAAAATGTTTACTGTTTATATAGAACTTCTTACACTTAAATATCATTATGCCATTGTAAAAAATAAATATTACTTATTTTTTACAGATGCCAGAACCTGGAGAAAAAAGATTAACTGTTCAAGGCCAGCCCTGGTCTAGCTCTTCGTCTGTACTCTTTCTCATAGGCAATGTCTAACTTGTACAGTGTGAGGAGGTCTCAAAAATATTGCTTGTAGCTGCCAAAGCGCATGTGAAATTAAAAATGTTTATTGCTGAATTGTCTTTTTTTTTGCTGTCCCCTTGCAGGTCCTGATGTGTCTGGACTCTCCATTGAAACAGATAACAAAAATGTAAAAGCAGAAGAGTTCAAGGGTACAGTATGGGCATTGTTGTGATAATTTTTATTGTATACACAATACATGCAAACTGTGCATACAGAAGCTGTGCAGCTATTGAGGTTGTCTTCCTCTTTCCTGAGGGGTCTTGTGCCTACTCTCTCCACTGATTCTGTGTTATCTTGGTCTTGTCCCCATTTTCTCTTACTCAAGGTGGAGTTGACCTTGGTCATCCCCAGAGATGCTTTTCAGCCTCCCCTGTTCTATGGTTCTGTGACTTGTGTCTCAGCCCTGTAACTTCTGCCTGGTTTCCTTCCACACAATGTCATGGGAGCTGATGGAAAGGAGGAACATTAAATATCTTACAAGACAGAAAAGTGAGGGACTAGAGAGAACAGATATAAGTTAGTTAATTGCAACTAACAATAATTTAATGGCTGTTTTTACTTGTCAGTAGCTGTAATGGCTATTTACATAGTTATATATGTGTATATATGTGTGTCATATATAAAATAGAAAAATACTTCAAATAATGGGGTGGAGAACAGAGAGGCAAAGAGGAAAACCTGTTTGCTGCGTAGATGAGAAAGGGGAGTACTGTAGTGTGAGGTTTGTGGGTTATGTGGGTTTGTTTTTTGAATTTGGTTGGAGTGGAGAGAGATGGGAATTTGGGATCAAAAAACCTGTTCTCTGAGCTTTAAACCTTTTTCAGCTTCTTGAGGTAATGATCAAATATTTTAGAGGTCTCTAAAATTGTCATCTGGACTTCTGTTAAGTATTCTTTTCTTGACAGAATGCATTTAGAGCTCAAGGCAGGCAAAACCACAGAGAAATGTTTCAGGTAATACTAAAACTTGATCAGGTTTTGTCTTTTCATGCGGTATATGGCTTGTATTTTGTCTTTTGTTACTTGTATATTGGATGGAATCAGTTTAGCACAGCCCAGATGCCAAGCCAAGTTCTCCATGTGTAGCAGCACTAAGGAATGGTAGGGCCAATAGTCAGTTATTCCACTGTGGGTGCAGCTGGTCTGAAATGCATTTTCCTTCTCTCCTCTAACTCCTCTTACTGTAGAAGAGGATGGTCAGGCACTGGGACAGGCTTCCCAGGGGAGTGGTCATGGTACCAAGCCTGACAGAGCTCAAGGAGCATCTAGGTGACACTGCTGGTCATGGTTTTTTTTAGGTAGTTCTGCAAGGAGAAGGGAGTTGGGCTTACTGACTCTTACCATTCCTTCCAACTTGAGATATTCTATAATTCTATCACCAATGATAGCCTCCAGACCAGCTGTAAATCCAAATTAAATATTGTGCAGATCTCTCCAAGATTCCAGAGGGCTTTTGCGGGCCTAGCAGTACCAGTGCTGATGCACAGTGTCCTGTGGACCTACCTTAATGCAAATCAAGTACACCTGCTCTGGAAAATACCTCTCCCTGACTCCATTCCTATGGGAAAAAGCAGGAGAGGGGAGCTATAACTGAGGATGATTTTACTGTGTTGTCTCGGTTCTGTGCACACTCCCTTTCTTCTATCCATTCCTTTTCTCTGAATAAGATTAGTGGGTGGGCATCAGTGCTAGGTTTTTTCTGCAACAAAAACATGGGGCATGCAAGAAAGGGGCAGCTCATTTGGGACAGAGGTGACTTGTTTAGCTGGGAACACTTCAGCTGAGCGGTCTCTGGGTCAGCTAACACAGACCAGCTCATTTGACAAGCCAACTGTCACCAGGCCAGTAGCAAAAGCAAGCTGAGCTTGAATGATGGTTTTTCTTTGTTAGAAGGAGACAAAAACAAAATGGAAAGGAAACTAGCAAATCTTAAGATTCAGGAAGCCTCCACCCATACACTCAACCTGAAGTCAGGAACCTCAGACTTCCTGAGTGCACAGTATGTTTTTCAAAACAGCCAGTGCACGTGTAACATGTTTCTGGCAAGGAATGCGCTCCTGCCTCAATTTTTCTTTCAAGTCTGGATATTTTTTTTTTCCCTATGAGGTATCACCAAGGCTACCAGTCTGGGTTTTTGTTTCTTTTCAGAGCAGACCTAGGAAATCAGACTCTGAAGGGCAAAGGAGTAGATCTGTCTGCAGCTCTTAATTACCTTCCAGCCTCATTTGTTTAGACTGTAAAGAAATATGATGGTTGATTATGTTTGATCAGTGCATGTTAGCATTATGAAAGCTAGACAGGCCTTGTCCAAACTATAAAGGATTTTATTTTATTTACTCTGGACATTGTGGCCTATATTGGAAAATTGGTAGCTTACAGATAGGAAGGTCTATATTGCATTTGTTTCTTTAACCATCTTACTGGAATATTTTTCATCTCCATTAAGTTATACATTTAAACAGAAAAGCTATTGATACTGAATTCAGAATGGTAATTCAAAAAATATGTTTATAACAGGGTCAGAGTCCCCTTTTTTAGGGATGATCTGCTCAGAAATGTTTCAACTAAAATGAGGGTAGTAATAAAAAATGTAATTGATAAAGTAGATATTCCTGTGTTAGATGGGGAAAGTAATAAACCCTATCCAGCATGGGAATCCCCAGCATCTGAGGTTTGACCCAAAAACCATTGAAGTATAAGAAAATTACTGGTTTCTTTCTCCCCACCATGTGTAAATCTGGAGAAGCATCACTTTGAGAAGTAGATCTAGAAATTGCTGACTGTACAAGTTCTTTTGAAGGAGGAACATTAATTTCAGGGAGCTTGAATGTATACCAACACAATACTAAAATCTCTAATTTTCCCTTTTGCCTTTATTTTTTTTTCTTCCCTCTAGAGGCTATTCTTAGTTGCAAACACAAATTTTCGAAAGGGATGAGTTTAAGAATAGAGTGGAAGAAAATCCAGTCTCAAGGAGTCTCATTTGTCTACTACAACAGTGAATTTACAGGTACAGTACTGCAAACAGATGGTTTAACATGTCATTCTCTAGCATAGCTATTGAATATTTCTTGGGGAGCAACACCAAGAATAAGACTGAACAAGAAGGCTCTTGGCTGTTCATATAGAAGAGCTGTCCTTTTCAGAAAGAGAATTCTTCTCCGGGGGAAAAAAAGGCATTTCTTTACAAAATCATCAATTATTATTTACCTTTTAATTAAGTTAAATATAATAAAATTAAAGACTAAGAAAAATGGTACTGCAGATTCCTTGGGATTTTTCAACAATGAAATTACATGCAGATGTAAACTCCCCTAAACTACTGCAGGCTCTGCACTCCTATCCTAAAAAGAGGTTTCTCAAGTCTCCTGTAAAGCAGGAGGCTTAGATATGAATAATGCAGCAATTTTTATATACATAAAATATAAACTCAGCTGTATATTATAAATTATTTGTATTCTTTTCAGAAGTTAGAATTTCTCTTTTTATGTTTTGAAAAGGATTTACTTCAGCTTTGTGTGTTGGAGAACATATGAGTCTCTGTTACATTGTACACAATAAACAAAGGTTGAGAAATAAAATAAAAGCACAGAGATTTTGTTAGTTTGTAGAGCTTGTAGATGTGTTGACCTTGATGAAGTTGGTTTTTTTCTGCATATATTTAATTTAGAGAAACACTCAGACTCATGCTTCTGTATGTGCATGTAACTTTCATAATAAGCTGTAGAATTAAAAAGACTTATTCATTGTAAGAAGTCTGATGACAGTGTTTTTGTAAATCCATTAGGTTTTTCTTGCCAAGTTATAATGTCAAATACTCTGCTGCGGTCTCACTCATAACTTTTTCTTTAAGGTAATTAAGTTAGTGATTGCTATGTCTCTAGTGGAAAGGGATGTCTTTCAGTCACCTCACTACTGCTCTATGCATTTTCTTGAACCACCTGCAGAAAAATGCATTCCATCCTCCAAGTGGATGTATGACAGATGGAGGTTTTTTGAATTGAAGGTGGTTTTTTTGGACGAAATGGAAGGTTCATACTGTTTTGAGAAGGAGATTACATATTGCTCTTTGGTGATACATAACTAACACTGAACAAATAAGCAATAGTTTCATGTACAGTATGATGTAAAATGTCAACAAATTGTACATGATTCCAGAATAAGACAATGAGCCATAGATATTTGCTTCAGACTGAAAGAGAAGAAATTTATTCTAGATATACAGAGGAAATATATGAAGGAAATTCTTCCCTGTGAGGATGGTGAGGCACTGGCACAGGCTGCCCCATGCCTGGAAGTGTTCCAGACCAGGTTGGATGTGGCTTGGAACAGTGGAAGGTGTCCCTGCCCATGGCAGTGGGGATAGAACAAGATGATCTTCAAGGTCCCTTCCAATCCAAACCATTCTGTGATTCTATGATTCTATAAGCAAAGAGCAGAAACCTCTCTGTCTTGTTCTCCCTAAAGGTGATCTTCGAGGCCGAGCAGAGATGCTGAATACAGGAATCCGAATTAGGAATGTGACTAGAAGGGATTCTGGGACCTACCGCTGTGAAATCAGTGCCAAGAGTGAAGAGGGGCAACGCCTGGGAGAAGCTACTATTACTCTCACAGTATTGGGTACAAATTTTATTACTTAGGCTTTTTAAAGAAACTGGATGATGAGGTGTTGGGGTGCTGAAGGTAGGGTTGTCCACACAGTGTGTGGCTGCTGGGTTTGTGGGTCTTCTTCGGGCTGGGTTTATTAACACACTTGCACACAAACATTGTACAGCATCACAAAACAGCTTGGCAAAAGTCACACTTGCATTAGAAAGGGACTTAACTAGGGTTTTATTAAATCAGAGTGTTTCAGTTCTCAAAACTGAAATCACGCAGTGACTGAGAATCTGGATAAGATGATCATGGTGTTTGGCACTGGAAAGTCAGCATCTGTCAACACTTATCAAATATTCACAAGCAGAAGTTCATTCCAATATGCTACAGTCTCGTCCTGGTTTTGGAAGGAGTTTTTGTGCAATGACAGCCAGAGAGCTGGCAATCAGTGGGCTTTATTTACAGGAGAGATGGTGGTGCCTGCTGGGGAGCAGTTGTTTTTTGTGGGTCTTGCTTTCTTTCCCAATTAAGGAATTGATGGAAAAGTGAATACTGAGCACATTGTTCTCACATTGGGTTTGGTATTTGTTGCACTGGATGAGTGGTAGAGGCCAATAGTTTTCTTTTTTTTACCTGTACAAGGACAAAAGAAAATACTTGTTTTTGTAGACTCTAGATTTGTCCTATTAAAGCTAGTAATAATTGATCATTCAAAATTATACATAAAGTTTCTAAGTTCTTCATAAAAGATAATAAATGCACAAACTTCTGATAAGCATCAACAATGAGGTAACCGCACTTTCTTCTACTTTCCCAACAGCTTTCCTGTTTTAAATGTGACTTCTTAATTTAAAGTTGAAATCTTCAAGGCCAAAGAGAAGGGAGGGGTAGCATGTGTTGCTTACAAACCTTTTTGAAAGTTAATGTGAATTAGTATTTCATTTGGTTTTCTTTGTCTCTGCTTTTTATCTTAAAATCAACCAAGAAAAAACTATCTATACTAGTTAAGGTGTCAGTTGTTCTTTTAATGTTCCCTGGATGCCTCTTCACCATTATTTTTCTTCTATATAAGGTTAAGTACCAAAAAAAAAAAAATTAAGTTCCTTTTCTGTTCATATTAAAAATCAAAAAAGAGACATTCATCTTCATAGGAGAAGGAGCAAACAGTTCTCCTGCATCTGTGGGGGAATGTAATTTAAACTGGAATGTAATAACCAATTGGTTTTGGTCCTCAGATTGGGGTTTATGAAGAATTATGACGATTGCCAAAGTCTCAGTGAATCTTTCTGACATTCACTTCTCAAAAATTGACTCCTTTTAATACAAAAACTCTTTTTCCTCTTCCTCACTTAGGTTTTTAAATACTAGGGTAGGGAAGGGGCCAATTGCTCGACTTCAGATTCTGCATTATCCCATCTGTCTGTGAACAAGAGGTTGCATACAAGAAACGACGTGAAACAAACTCTAGGGTTGGATGAAAGTGCACAGACTGGAGACAGGATGACACAGCATATGGTGGGGGGAGGCTGGCAGTAAGCATCTCCTTCATTTTTAGCAACTCATAAATTTTACTGTGCTCTCAGTAGCAGGATTGTGCCTTCCAGCCCTTCTCCTACACCTCATTTCATTGACATGGTAGTTATCAAACATGCACAAGTGCTTTCCTCCTCACAATGACTGTCAGCCTGATCCATGATCCCATTAGTAAAGTTCTTAAAAATGCCCCTGCCCGAATTAAGGTGCAAATGAGATCATATGCCAGTGACAATAGTATGGGGTTTATTTAAAAGTAAATGTATGAGAGAAGGAGAGAGAGAGAGAAATAAGAAATAGGTGGGAGGGACAGAGAGTAACAAGGACAGAATAAGGAAAATACCACCACTCCATGGATCCCAATGATGTTTCACTGATCCTCTTCAGCTGGTCTTCTTGGTGGTGAAGGTCCCCCCTGAAAGCATAGAATCTAATAGGTGAATAAATACTCAGTCTAGGTAGGAAAATCCAGGCTCCTCCCTTGGGGAGTAGGGGGAGTTTGCCATTGTCTCTTACAACTTGCTGGGTTTGTTGTATCACATGCAGTCCAGTGGTGTAAGGCTACAGGAATGACACTGGGGAGCACTTTAGGGGGCTTTTGATGGATTAAGGCACCCTCTCAGCTGCCTCTCACACGAATATCCCATGGATGTGGCCTTCCCAAGATTGGTGGTTCCATAGCCAGTTTATGTAAGGGAGGATGGGTTCCCTGCCCCTGAGCAAAGGTTACAACACACCGAAACTTCCTCTCCCAACATCAGCTGGGGGGAAAATCTGTGCAAACCTGCTCCCAACCTGCTCCTGTGGGCTAATGTGACAGCTATAGCTGGTCTATAGCAGCACAGATAATTAGGCCATAACAGATACCAACTCGACCAGCCTAACTCGTTAGAGAACAAGTAGTAAACAAGTCCCCAGGTTTTAAGTCAATAGGCTGAATTCAAGTTCAGACAAGGGGACCCCAGCAATCCCTTTGAACCAGGAATGCACCTGTATCATTGGCCGGTGAGCTGTGCAGAGTTAAGACTTTTGACCAATAATATCTGTAAGCATGGGAAATTCCAAGCCCCTGTGTAAGAGAGCACACATCAATAAACTCTGGCTGTTGCTGCATGAACCTTGGTGTGTATACATTGCATTCCTGTCTCCATCAGTGACAGTCTATGGCCTCCCTCACTCCAAAGCAAGCCCAAGATGATTCTTAGCATGGCTGCTGGGTTTGGCTCACATTCTTTTCCTTGTTTACTTGCTTGTTTCAGGTGATTAAGAATGAGTTTTCACTTTATTTAATCTCAGCATTTGACTTTCAGTCCAAACTCCAAGTCAGGTATCCTTAGGGAGGCTTCTTTGGTTGTAGCTTCTTTATACAGTTTTTGTTATAATGGGCAAAACTTTATATCAATGTTTGAGGCATGAACTATTTCAGACTCTGACAGATGTGGACAGTATAAGTACATGTGTAACGAGTTCCATTTCACTGTCCAGTTGCTCCGACTACTCCAGTGTGTGAGGTACCCAGCTCCGCAATGACAGGAACGGTCGTGCAGATGAGTTGTAAGGAAACTGAGGGCTCCCCTCCATCTGAGTACCAGTGGTACAAGAATGGTGTTGCCTTGCTGGAGAAGACAGGAGCAGGCAGTGCTAGAGCAGCAAACATAACTTACACCATGAATAAAAAGTCTGGCACTCTGGTAAGTGTAATAACCAACTCTGACATAGACAGCTATCAAGGAGACCAAATTTACTGTTCAGTAAAATTATCTAGGGATCTAAATCCAGGAATTCACAAGGTCTTTGTTGGAGGTCAATGTCATGCTGAAATGTGCTGAGAAATGCAGAAGGTGGTTTCTGCCTCAAACCAGTGACAAGCCATAGACATTGAATGACATGTACAAACTGGGTGAGGTGTGAGGGTGCAGTACTGATAATTGAGAATCTAGAAATACATGACAAATTTTACCTTGTGAGCTGGTAAACTAGTACCAGGTGAGAATGAGGTCTCAGTATGGCAACAGAGATATATTTGACAGAACCTTAAAATTTGGAATAGTAGCTTCATACACTTCAAGGGGAGTGCAGCACTCAGGGCAGTACAGAAACTCTGCAATCCAATGCTATTTACAAGTTCCCATCCAGGACCTGTGAAGTCAGTGGGAATGAGTTGGGACTGTAAGTAAGCTTAGTTCTTTGTTTTAGTTGTAGTTTGTTTTGTGGGTTGTGATGTTGGGTTTTATTTGCCTTCAGAGCTGGCTGTCTCTCTCATTCTTACCCCATTAACTGATCCTTCAAAAGAACTTGATGCTACTTAGGAAGCTGAGATTTTTCAGAAGTAAAGAGTTATTTTAAGAACACTACTCTTGTGCAAAATCAAACTGAAACTGAATGGAAAATGGAAACTGAAGTATGACTAAGCATTCAGATGTTCTGAATGCTCATCACAGAAATCAGGTGGACTATTCAGACTTACTGATCACTTCTGAAAATATCTAAGTATGGTATACATTAAAAAGAGACAGTTAATAAGTCTAATAATTATGAAAATAGAAATACTGGAATTGACATGAGGTCAGTTTCTATCCATCTCTTTGTTATGGATCAAGTGAGAGATTTAGAAAATTCCTGCCTTAGGCTTAGATTTTTTGCAGCAGCTCTTCTTAGGTGACCTGCACATAAATCTCTCTGGCTCACAAGTTCTTAAGAGGGAACAGTTAGGTCTATTATAAATTGAATTACTTAATGAATTGGCAGAAAGTAAAAGACAAGAGGCCTTAAACACTTATTTATTACACAGTGTAAAATAAAAGAACTACTAGTAGATTACATAAAATTGTGCATGACTTTAAGGTACCTATATTACAGCTAGCAAGGAAATAGTACGGGTTAGGAGTCAATGTAACTTACCATCAAATTGCTGATAGTGTACAAAGAGTCCTTACGCTCAGCCCCCAGGACAGCAACCACAAAGTGGGCTACTGACTTTGGCGAAGAGAGCCCACACATTTCCAGGGAATGTGCAGAATATTTTTGCTTTGTGAAAATATGGTGTAGCTTTTACAATTTGTGAAGTGTATGTCAGTCAGAAATTCCAGCTTGTCTTTCCACATCTGCTTCCACAGCAAGATGTTTACTGTCAGCTGAAAGCATCCCTCCTATGGCAATGATATAATTCACTACAAGATAAACTGTCCTGATTGAGTTACTTCACCAAGGCTCCTGTGAGGCTCATGTGAGAGCAAGATGCTCTGAGTTATTGCACCAACTAACAAGCAAGAGATAAGCTCTTCTGTGCTAGGGAGAGATGTCCTGCTACAGTCTCATTTTCATTTCATTTTCATTTTTACAGTAGCAGTATTTAATAAATAGTATAGTTTAGCATTTCTCTGTTGGAAGAAGATAAAGTGCATTTCTGAAGGGTTGAAAACCACCCAAACAACTCTTCTGAAAAATTTCAGTTGACAATGCATCATAAGTAGTATGTGTCAAGTTTTTTGAAGGATCAGTTAATGGGGTTATTGTTTTGATAAAATGAAGAAACAGTTTGATTTCAAGTATTCTGAAATTAGAGCACATCTAAAAAAGTGGATATTATTAATGTTATTTAAAAAGTGTAAAGTTCTGGTCCACTGAAAATTAATTTCCTTGTAGATATACTCCACTGAGTTTAAATGTCCATCTAAAGGAACCTCTTAGGCAACAAGTAGAAGTTGAAGGACCAGGGAATGTGACGAGGGAGCTGTTACAAGGTTGAAATGGAACAGAATTTCTTACTTGCCATCAGGGTTTCATTTGTTTAAAACAAACAAATCTACATTGAAATGTCAAAATTTCTATCCTACAGTATTTTTTCCCCCTTTTCTGATAATGGTTTTGGACTGTTTCTTAACAGCTGTTTAATACAGTTACAAAGAATGACACTGGAGAGTATTTCTGTGAAGCCTCCAATGGGATTGGATTATCTCAGAAATGTTCAGTGAAGCGAATGCAAGTTGGTATGTGTTAAAGAAAATAATGGTGGAAAACAATCTTGCAGTAGGATTTATGTAATTGCATGGTGTAACTAAGAATCTAATTGATTTCATTGAATTCAATCTTTTTATTTGATTATGGCATTTGTGGGGAGGAGAAATAATAAGTTCCTTATTGAGTAATTGGCTTTTAGATTGCTAAACACTAAACTTCACAGAAAAGCATCAGCTATATGAGAACTTTAATATTTCTAAATGTTTTTGTGGAAGGCTTACAGAAGAGTGTGCCAGATCACTGGGGTGTTTTCTTTACATAAAGCCTCCCTTTTGGGATTCATTCATGGGAAATCTTAATGTAACAGTCTGTAATAACCCAAAATGTGTGAGGGTTTTTTGCAAAATATACAACTGGTTCTTGCAGATATCATAGGAAAGCAAACGGTAACAAATCCTAATAATTACTGCAGGGAAGATCCTGTCCAAGTGCAAAGTTCCATATAGTGCTTTCATGGAACTTAGCTGAAAATCATTGTGCCATGGGTTTTAATGCATTCTTGGTGGATTATGAGCAAATTTTCCTCAAGCTACTGAGATAGAATTGCTTTGTGAAAATATGCAGTAAATCCTAAACTGCTGTCAGCATAAATTGTACAAAAATTTGTTAGGTTTTGGGGTAAAAATTTCAGCCTAAAGTTGGGATCCAAATAAATGGAAACAAAACAAAAACCTATGAAAATGTTTTTCCTTCTTGATCATTTTGGTTTTCCTAAAATGAATAAGTTTGAAGCTCTTAGCAATTATATCAGGATATGAGTATAGTCTTTGTCATGGTTGAAGTCAAGTCATCACCTTCAAAATAAAAATGGCCAGATGTTTCAGTAGCCTGGTGTAGAGTTTAACTTCAGGAAACTCAACCTTATTGTGTTGTATTTTAAAAGCCTTGCTATTTAAAAATTTAAAAATCATTGAGTTTCAAGTAACTCATTTGAAGAGTTCTCTAGAAGTGGAACTCAATTGCCAGCAGTTGTTTCAGCTGTGTTAAGCAAATGATGAAAATTACTTTAACACTTAAAAATATTTCATTATGTTTTTCCTCAGAGATACATGACTTGGGTAATATTTATCTGGGGTAGATATGATAAGGAATATGTATCCCTTGGTCCTTCTTATTCTTTTCTTACTTTTATCCAAACTAAGGAGTTGATGTGTACCAAGCGCTTCTGTTAAAGTGACAGTGGCACATTAGTGGTTTTTTTACTGCTTACTTACATCTGTTACTAATTAACTTATGCATCTTGGGCCAAAGCCCACCTATAGATATAAAAATGCCTGTGTTAATTAGGGAAAAATCCAGCCAGTGGAAATTTTTACAATTTAGAACAGAGGACTTCTGCTTTATAATTACAGATGACCTTAATTTAAGTGGTATCATTGTGGCTGTAGTATTGGTGGCTCTGGTGATGGTTCTATGTGGCCTTGGAGTATTTTATGCCCAAAAAAAGGGCTACTTTGCAAGTAAGTAGAATAAAATCACTCCTTTCTTGAGTCAAAAAATGTCTTTATTTAGCAGTATTTCCATTACATTCTCTCTTGCCTAGAGAAGCTGTGGATGCCCCGTCCTTAGAAGTGTTCAAGGACAGGTTGGAGGGAGTTCTGAGCAACCTGTTCTAGTGGAAGGTGTCCCTGCTTATGGCAGGGATTTAGAACCAGATGATCATTAAAGTCCCTTCCTTCACAAACCATTCCATGATTTTATGATTCTGATGATGTCCTCCTTTCCATAAAGATTCTAGCTCCATGGTACTAAAGCTAGAGAGCATTCAACCAGCAAATTTTGTTGCAGACATTTTTATTCTGCCAACATCTACTGCAAAAGGTACTTTGACAATGACATGGAGATGTTTGCACAGTTGCTTAAGGCTACCAAACAACCTAGGGAAAGCAACAAGTCTGACTCTGGTTCTTGGAACCTCTCCACCCTAGTTTTGATAAGGAATGCCTAATAAAGGCAAAATAAAATAAGCCCATTTTAGTCAACAATGCCTGACCAATTAAATTCTGATGAAAGGGAAACTAAATTAACTGTCTTCTTCCTCTGGGTCATGAAAAAAGTTTGCTTTTAGGGATTGCTGCATAAAGCTTGATATCCAGCAACCCTCTCTGTAGCCTTTACATTGGTACCTATAGGCTTGAGCATGGCAACAACAGATGCCAAACATTGGGGTCTGTAAAGGTCAGCTGCCTGAAATTACCAGAGGCTTCAGAGCTGCTCATTCACTTGGAGCTTCATTTACCCTTGAAAGCAACCTAATCTTTCTTCTGCCTAAACTCACTACACCAAAAAGACACATTTGGGTCAGAAATTCCTTCTAGAAACTGAAGAGCTGAATATTCTAGGAATAACAACTTCAAAGAACTTCAAATCAGCAAAGGAAACTATTCCTGTGCTAATTCTTTTCTTTTCTTTCTTTTTCAGAGGAAAGTTCTTCCCAGTAAGTAAGCAAGTACATAAATCACTGCAAACCTCATTTACATTTCAGATTTTGTTTGTAATTATAATGATTTTTACAGCCTTTCTAACATCATTTTTGTGCAATACCTTTCTTGGCACTGAGATAAATCTGATCCTACACACTAGCTGCTTTCTTAAATAGAAACTAGTGTGGTGGTCAGAAAGTGAATCATTACATTACTGTGGTAAATACACAGAGATGTGTCTTTTTACATAGTTATAGCTTACACTCCTAACTCGGCTATTCATGTGTCTCCTCTTCAAACTAGACAAAAGACAATCAGAACCAAATTGAACTGCTGTCATATCCATATCTATAAGTTATTTCAGGAAGTGTTTTGTAAAAATATAACTGGTGGAAACTTTCTGACAGTGCCCGGTCTATTCCTTTGATATGGATTTATTTCACTCAAATTTCTTAGTAGCAAGTCAGAATTCCTCAAGCTATTTTAGTTTTGGTCATGAGCTATAGTGTAACTGGAAGACTTGGAAAGACAAACTAGGGAAGGTGTTTGGCAGTGGTTTATGAGATCATGACTGACATTTAAAAGCATTCAATGGATTTGTTACTCTAAGTTTTTTCTAAGAGGAGGGAAAAAAAAAATCCCTGAGGATTACTGTAAATCTGGAAAAATGCATTCATATATAAGGCTCCCAAAGGGAAGTACTGGAAAAGTAGCTATTTAACCTGTATTCATTCCTGCTCTGTTAACAGAAAGAAGACGAACTATCAATCTACAAGTGAAAAGGCAAGTCTTCTGTGTTCAGGAGTGTATTTTAAAAGCTTTAGATCTCTTCAAAGTTCCTTAGATCTGTCATGTTTTTCCACATGCACACAAACTCCTCACTCCTGCCATGCCCATACCTGGCAACACTTTTTCTGCATTTACAGCTTCCTATTGCATAGTCTTAAGTGCAACACAGCTGCAGCATTTTGCTCCATACTTTGCATCTTCTTGTACACACTGAGTAATTACCTGAGACACAGACCAAGACAGCAATGAGAGAAAGACTGGGCCCTAACTCTTCTAGGAATAATGTGGGTCAAAAAACTTGACTAAATATGGAAGCTGAATTTACTACTTCCACCCCCACTTCCTTGAGTCGGCTCCAAGGGCTTTAGCTACACCTACATCATTCCAGCTTTAGAGATTGGTGCAAAAAAGAATAGAGTTCTAAGTAAAACTTCCACTAGGAGTGACTGAATATCACTATCTACAGTTTAAGGACATTAGGAGTTTAAGTAGCATGAGTACTATGATGTAACCTTAAAAGATCCCTGAACACCACCCATTTCCTTAATCGAAACAAAACATGCTAAACTGCATAAGCTTAATCCTTGATCTAGTATGTATATAAGAAACTTCCTGAGACTGTTTGCTCTGAGTGAGAAAGAGAAAGCTTTGAAGAGCTATGGTATCTGTTTATCATTATTAATGCACTTAAAAATCAGATGCTGAACAGAGCTGTTTGATACCTGTATTTATGTGTAGAGTGCACTTTGTAGACCTCCTGTCTCAGAAAAGAATAAACATTTACTAACAGTACACCAGACGCATTTCTTGTCAAGCTCAGTGCCTTAGTTTCTTCTAAAATGTACACTAAATATTAACCTGCTTAAAATCTTTGAACTATTATTTATTGTAACCTTGTTTGCTTCATTTAGGATTTCAAGCATACCAAGTCCTTTTTTATTTAGAAGATTTCAGCCTCTGTGAGGGACATCAAATTACTACTTGTTATACAAAAGTATCAATGTCCTGGTTTCAGCTGGGATAATTTTCTTCATAGTAGCTGTGTTTTGGATTTAATATGAGAATAAAGTTGATAACACACTGATGTTTTAGTTGCTGCTGAGTAGTGCTTACTCCAAGTCAAGGAGTTCTCAGATTCCCGTGGTCTTCCAGTGAGGAGCTGCAAAAGAAGCATGGACAGAGCACAGCTGGGACAGCTCATCTGAGTTGTCCAAAGGGATATGCACAGAATCACAGAATTGTAGAATAAGCTGAGTTGGAAGGGACCCATCAAGATCATGAAGTCCAACTCCTGGCCCTGCACAGGACACCCCAAGAATCACACCATGCGCCTGAAAGCATTGTCCAAACACTTCTGGAACTCAAACAGGCTTGGTGCTTGGTGACCACCTCCACACCAGAATATCATGCTCAGTATTTAAATTGGGGAAGTTGGCCCGGAGGAGCCAGCTGCTGCTGGGGAACAGGCTGGTCATCAGTCAGCAGGTGGTGAGAAACTGTTGTGCATCACTTGCCTTTCTTGGGCTTTACTCCTCTCTATCCTTTTCACTACAATTCATATTATTGTTCTTATTAATATCATTAGTATTATTAGTATCTTATTTTACTTTGTTTCAATTATTAAACTGTTGTTCTCTCAACCCACCAGTTTTACATTTTTTTTCCCAGTTCTCCCACTGGGCAGGGGTGGGACAGTGAGCAAGCAGCCACATGGGACTAAGCTGCTGGCAGTTCTTTTTGGCACTCAAATGGGACTAAAAAGGTTGAGATAAAAACAGATCTGACTAAAGCATGTTAAAACAAGTTTGTTATAAGCCTTCATTGTATTGGTTTAATAGTTGCTGGTCACCATATTGATTCATTTGCTCTAGGCCTAGGCTAAGGTTATCACTGCGTTGTTCGGTGTTGTACTGGCTTGTGATATGATGGAATGGCTGGTCAGGAGCCTGTCTGGTGTGTCCCCACTGCCCTTTGGGAGCCATCTGGTGGAAACTATCCACAGTTACATCTACTGCCGTTCACCCTCAGAGAGCAAACCCATGGGAAAAACACCTTCCTTCCCCTCCAGGATGATTACAATTTGAGCATTTGAGAATTTTAGAGACTTTGCATATCCTGTGACTATCCTTGAAACCAGCCTGGTCCTTTTGTAAAAATCAGTATGTTGTTGCATATGGTTCAGGCCTTCTTTAGGGTTAAGAAATGATCTGTGGCTATCGAAACCCCACCAACACCTACACAGACTTCAGTAACAGGCCAACAAGAGGCAACCACTCAAAACTTATTCCTGAGTGAGCTGCAGGATATACATAAATATTTCAGTTGTTGTCCTGATGAGCACACTACCACCCAGCTGTTCTGATGCTGGGATAATGGGACTAAGGGATTGGAATTAGAGGGTAGGAATCACTTTCTAAGAAAGCATGCATTGACAAGGTGATTGCAAGAGAGACACAAGTTACCAGCCTCTGGAAGCAACTCCTGTCAAACCTGAAGGAAAGGTATGCTTACAAGAATGATGCTACATGTCACCATGCAAGTGGAAAGATATCCAATACTTGAGGGAATTAGCAATGATATTTATTTTGACCTGGACAATACAAGGTTCCCCACAGATCCAGACCAATTTGTCTGCATGTCACCCATATGGTGGAAGTTTGCAGAGTGTACCAAGAGTACACACCAACCCACTGCCAATGTTACTCTAAAAAGACATCACACCACCATCTGTGGATACAGTGGCTTGCCATCTCTGGGAATGTGAAGACAATCTCTTCCTCTCTCATCTGTGGAGAAACTATCAGAAAAACTTTCCCAGGAGTTTCAGCAGTTCAAATATGTTCTATTCCCCACCTCTACAGACCCATGCTAATGACAGTAAGCATTGGCTCAAGAAGAAGGATATGGAAGGTACATGCCATGGAATACCCTGGTTTAGCTGAGACCACAGAGAAGGCATGAAGAATTGGGATGGGAGACCTAAGACCTACCTTGATCTTAGAGATATGAATTGTAAGGAAAACAATCCCAAATGGGGGTTTTTCCAGGAAAGCTGCTACTCCCGTCTCCAGTGGATGGTTTCCCAGGCAGAGTGGAAGGGCTGAATTTACTCCTAATCCTATGGAAAGGAATTCTAATCCATTTCTTCAAAAAGTAAGTTCTCTGAGATGTGGGTTTTTTGAAAATGCATATCCCAAACTATGTAAGCCCTCTTTGTCAAGTGATTCAGAAGAATGATTTCTGAGCAACACCACCAACCTTTTGAACAGAATGAACTAGAAATACTTGGAAATTACTCACAGATGCTTGGGCCAAGGAACATGGCATTTAGTGGGTATATTATATCATGCACCAGCTGAGAAAACTACATGATCCATTGGACTGTTAGACTACACTGAGAGCAGTGGCCAGGGCAACCTTCAAACATTGGGATGCACATTGGCAAAGGCCACCTGGTGAGTCAGCACTAGATCTGCCAAGGGGGCTGGCCCTGCCCAATCAAAACTTTTACTGTAGAAGAGAATAAAGTTCCTGTAGTGCATATGAAACTGTGCTGCGGAAGACAGTCTGGGTTGTTCCTGCCTTGGGCAAAGGCAAACTCATCTATGGGATTGTTTTTGTTCGAGGACTTGGGCACACTTGTTACGACAGGAGGATGGGCAAGTTTGGTTTGTGCGTTGAGTGGACTTGATTGAATAGCTAGTGCATTGTGTGATGTTAATTGCTGTGTATTAGCACTTCTACATCAGCTGCATGCCCATGACTGCACTGGGCACCTCATGGTGTCTGTCTCCACCCCTCCAACTTTGGGAATCTGAACCCAACTCCCCTTCAACTGCCATATTAAGAATGAACTTTGATGTAACTGGACAAGCAGAGCAGCGACAGAATCAGAACTGGCTTCAACATGCGACAATCCAACACTCACAAGTCATGAGTGCCATAAGCCAAAAGCCACAGACTAAATTAATTCAATAGACTTCTATGGGAATTGTCTATAAATTAAGGAAATGGTATCTGTGTGTGCATCTTTAAAAGATGGGAAAGGTGGTCGCATATCAGGAAGTGTGGGATCCGGCATGACAAATAATATGGAGTAAGCAGCTACTACTTTTCTGGTTTCAGCTGGGAGTTAATTTTTTTCCTAATAGCTGGTACAGAGCTGGTTTCTTTAATTAGAATTAGAATAATGTCAATAACACAACAATGTTTCAGCTGTTGCTCAGCAGTACTTACCCCGAGTCACACTTTTCAGTGCCTGATGCTCTGCCAGTGAGAAGGTGCTCAAGCCATGAGGGAACAGGGCCAGGACCCTGACCTGAACTGGGCAAAGGGATATAACATCATGCCCAGTATTTAAACTGGGGAGAAGCTGGCTGGGAGGGACCATTTGCTGCTGGGGAACAGGCTGGGCATCAGTCAGTGAGTGGTGATTGGCACCTGTGCTTCTCAGGTTTTCTCTCTCTTTCCCATATTATTACTTTGGTTCAATTATTTCAGTGCTTTATCTCAACCCACAAATTTTGTTCCTAATTCCCTTCCCTACAGTAGGGGAAGGGGACAGGGAGTGAGCCAGAGGCTATGGGATACTTAGTTGCCAGCTGGGATTAAACCACAACATCAAGGCATCTTTTGACCTCTGCTGTTTCCATGTCTTATGTGCTGAAAATAGAAACTACCAATATTTAGTCAACCTAGCTGTGATGGCATTAAAAAAAAACAAAACTTTCAAATAAACTTAAAGACAAATTAACTTGTCTCTTCAATTTAGTTTTGTGTGAAAGCTTCTCATTTTGTTGATATGTACATGCAGCAATATAAGATTCACTCTTGCAGCTTGGAACAATCTATTCAAATAATTTTCATAGATGATCTCACTACTTGTGTCTCAGCCATTGTCAAGGGCTCAATTCCTCCTGCAATTCTGATTTACTAGGACTTAAGAGATGATTTTGGCAAATCTGATACAATTTCAAAGTGTGTATTAGTAAACTCACTATGCTAATAAAAGAAATCCTCCTGTATTAAAAGCTCAAGCAGTGTTTTAATGTTTAATGTGGAAGTCTCTCTCTGTAGACTGTGTATGTAGTTTCATTCTGAAGAAAAATCACGTCAATACAATTCAAACTGTAGTATGTAGACTCTAACTGTCGAAGTGTTTATGTAGTGTCTCAGATATAATTATAAATAAATAGCTCCTCAGAAGCTAAAGTGTTTGTGTCAATAGTTCAGTCACAGAAATTAACACCTTACAATCTCTTTAGCAGATTTAATTTTCTTCTGGAAGATTAACTTCATCACCTTTGTGTTCATTGATGCAGTGTAGAATTACGGCATTTGTGCCTATGCTTTTGACTGTGCAGCTCCATCACTACTGTAGGGCTTTGCTACAGACTTAAGGTTCATGGAGACTTTTTTTCTGCAGAAGCCTCTTGGATAAACTCAACAGAACAAATAGTTCCTTCCTGGCATATCATTATAAATGTTATAATATCTAAGTATTAAAACACAGCACACAAAGGAGTTTTGCAGTTAACACTGAGCAGCACTATTCAGCTGCCTCTTGTCATGTAAGAGTTGGTGATCACAGCTAGCTACACTCACCACGCAGTTAAGAGCTTCTTCACACCACTGAAATCAAACTGGAGCACTACATTTATTAAATTACAACTGGTGACATTTTCAGCAACTCCGTGCCTGTACATTGCTGTTTGGTGTACAAGCTGCAGAAATCACTTTGGAGTCTCCTCAAACTTGGGCTCTGCAGGAGGAATGGGAGAGAGAAAATTCCTATTAGTCTCTTTTTATTCCATTTTCAAACACCACAATTAATCTGTAATTCAAAGAAAACTAACCACACAATTTAAACTCAACTTGGCAAGATACTCTCCACATACAAACACTGACCAAGGAGTTCTTGATGTCAAAGCTACAGGCTCACAAAGGTTAGGGCTTTGGGCTACTAATGCCTGCTGTCTTTAATACAAAGTCTTAGAGGCAAGGCTCAGCTTATAGTAAGCATCCCTAAGGTAAAAAAATTCATGTTTCTACTCATATAATTACTCATATTAATTACAATTTGAAACCTAATTGAAATTAGATCAAAGATAGGAAACAGTGGCAAAAGAATAAAGTCATGTTGTGTCTGTGCTTTGCTCTGTTCCTATGGTCACACAAATTATTTTTACTTACAAAAACAAGTATAATATTAATATGCATAGTTTCACATATGACACAGAAATAAAACTGAATGTAGAGAAATTACATGCCTAAAATTGTGGAAAAATAAAAAAAGGAAAACCATAGATCCTACTTAACAGGTACTCTTTATCTGCACCAGTAACAACCTGATACCAACTTTACCCAACTAAAATACTTACAAAACCCAAAACATTTTCAGGTGTGTTCCAAGTCTAAATTAGAATTCCCAGACAGTCTGATCAGAACTGCAAGTTGCTGACTACGGTTGCTTAGCCTTGGCTGGCTGCCAGGTACCCACCAAGCCTCCTGCTGTCTGCCCTCTCCCACGCTAAAACAAGCTTAGAGCAGTTAAACAGAAGTCATAACCAAATAGATGAAGAAAAATATGTGGCTTAATATAATTCAGCCACAAAATATTCATAAGTAAGGAAATTAAGTCCTATGTTCATTTTCTGAAATCAGTGGCTTTCCAGAGATGCTTACAAAATCAAAAAAGTCAGTTTGGATGATATTAAGACTGATATTCACATCACAGTCCGCTAATCTTTTTGGCAAGATGAGAAAAATACAGACCCTAGGCTACTTCTATTTGAGCTCTTTCTTTAGGATGTCCTTATTTCTGAAGGACAATTAAGATAGCCTGATCTGACTGTGAGTTTTGTTCATCATTAGTATAATGAAGACCACACCTCTGCTAGAAAAGGCAAATAATCAAAACAGGAGTCACACGGAAACAGATGCGAACTGTGCTAAAGCATAACATTCCCAGAGGGCATTTTACACAAAATTAATTGTACAAATATAAACTAAAGGGGAATTTAACAAACCTGTGAGTGAACATGTCTCTACTTGCAATTAGAATTCAGTAAAATTGTTAACTCACCCTCAAATTTAAATTCTGGAAACTTGGTGAGATCTCCCTCACCATACGCCCGTTGGAGTCTTGCAAGGGATTCATTCATATCTTTCTGAAAGTCAGGTCCTGCATCAACAGGCCCTCCAGCTTGCCTAATAAACATTAAAAGTTGTGATTAACAACTCAGTTCTAATATTTCACATGGAAAATTCTACATTTTCTATCCCATTTATAAATTATAACCTTCCTAACAGCCAGCTGAAAGAAATAATTTAAAATATTTCCAAAACTCAAGATATGACACCTTAGGGCCTCCTTACCTTACACACAAACAAGATTCTCAGGGTAAAGGTTTTCTGCTGTCAGTGATGAAAATCCAACTATCAGGGATGAAAATCCAAGCCTTTTGAGACAAAAGGTGGTCTTATGAGGCAAAAACAATGATGAGTATGGAGGCTCTCCAGGCTCTTAGTTTTTTTTTGTTCCAGGTATGAATTCCTAAAAAATTGTGATTTGCAACTCTTGTCTCTGAACTAGTTATCTCAGCTAGTAAAGTTTAACTGTTCTTACCAAGAAAATGCATTTTGAATTCTAAAGAAGCAAAAATCCCCTCTACAACAGGAGCTTCTTGGGATTCAAGCATCAGAGAACTAAAACAGTAACTCTTTAGATTGCCAGCACCCAGTTGTGCCAGCACAAGATCCATGCTTAGAATTGGTAAAACCATCAAATATCTGCCTCCCTGCACAGATGGGTTTGTAGGTAAGCACAGACACGTCTTCTACCAGTAGAGCTAAGAAGCATCTTAATTCCTTCCCAGGAATACTTCCCGAGAATAAATTACACAGAATTACTATAGCTTTTGTTTCCTGGTCAGCAGTTCATTCAAACATTACAAGAATCTAAGGTTCCATTTGAAGGAACTGCTTATTAACTTAAGATGTTAAATGAACCATGCTGATAATTCCATTAATTCTCAGCTGGTTTTGGTGGCTATTTCCATTCAGCTTCTGGAAACAAGACTAAAGAATAACTGTTTCCCCCAGCCAAAAAAAAAAAAAAAAAAAAAAGAAAGGTTTGTTTAGCTTTTTTCCCCCCTATTTATAGAGCATGTAGATAGGTAAAAATTAACATACCAGTACATTCATGCAACATGCAAGAGACTTTAACTGTGTGGCTTAACTGCCCAAGAAGACTGACATCACGTTTTTTCTTTTTTAAGGGAAAAAAAAATGGTATTTTCTATTAGACATGCAAGAACAATCCTTCCCACTAGTGAAACCATAAGTGTTGCAGGAAAACACACCTTAACTATTTACAGACCAGCCTACAGGAGTATCAAATTGTCAAAAACCAACCACTTCAGGTCTGATGTTTTTATGTCAAAACCAAAAGACAATGTCTTTTACTTACTTGCTCTTTGTGTTGTACTCTCTGATCTTGTCCAAGAAGAGCTTCTGGACTGGATCGAGTTCTTTTGCCTTGTTGAAGACAATGGCAGAGAGCCCAATGTTCCTGCGCACGTGAGTGGCCACGGCGGAGTGGAAAAGGGAGGAAAGCCGCAAGATCTGCTGCAGGATCATGATGGCACTACTACTTTAACCACTAATAAAACAAAAAAGCAGGAATAAAGAATTAGTCACAGCAATATAACAAACGCATTCAAAAAGCAGGGAAAAAAAAATAGCTTGGAGCTGAAATCGGAAAAGTATTTAAAAGATATTTCCTTTAAGATCTTATAAAGATAAATGCAGAAGAAAGAAAGAAAAATGTACTTTGGGGCTGAACTTTAAAGCAGAGGTTATTTCAAAGGAGCATATTCAAAGGTTATATATAAAGGTTATATATAAATATATATATATAAAAAACAGCATATTCAAAGATTTATATATATATATTCAAATGTTTATAGATTTATATATAAAAAAGTTATATTCAAAGGTTATTTAAAAGAGCGTGGGAGGAGGGGAAACTCCAGCAACCACTGAACCCGAGGGCACCGTGGGTCCGCGACCCGTTTGGTACGGAACCAAGACAGAACAACCCAGACAAATATATATATATATATTTATATATATTTATATATAACCCAGATTATATAAACAATATATATATATATAAAAACCAGCATATTCAAAGATTTATATATATATATTCAAATGTTTATAGATTTATATATAAAAAAAACAGTTATATTCAAAGGTTATTTAAAAGAGCGTGGGAGGAGGGGAAACTCCAGCAACCACTGAACCCGAGGGCACCGTGGGTCTGCGACCCGTTCGGTACGGAACCACGACTGAACAACCCAGACAAATATACATATATATATATAAACAGCATATTCAAAGATTTATATATATATATTCAAATGTTTATAGATCTATATATAAAAAAAACCAGTTATATTCAAAGGTTATTTAAAATAGCGTGGGAGGAGGGGAAATTCCAGCAACCACTGAACCCGAGGGCACCGTGGGTCCGCGACCCGTTCGGTACGGAACCACGACAGAACAACCCAGACAAACCGTGAATTCCGCTCTCCGCGCTGTTAAAGCAGGAAAAAGAGGTGACAATTTCAACCCCAGAGTCACCTTGGCCGAACCACCGCCTCAGCCCGGCCCCGCCGCCCTCGCAGTGCGCGCCGGGAATCACCGTCCCCATCCCTCCCCCCCGCGCACCCGCGGCATCCGCACACACAGCCTGGCCCCGCTTGGCCCCGCCGGGACCAGGGAAGAGCCCCGGGAGAGCCCAGCACGAGTGGTACCCACACAAAGCCGCTTCCCACCGAGAACCCAGCGCTCCTCGTACCCACACAGAGCCGCTTCCAGCCGAGGGAAGGCGGCTCGGGGCCTTCCGGAGCCGCGGGGGCCGCCGGGACTCGTAGTTCGTGCGGGGGCGCGGCGCTGTCGCGCGTTTCCCCGCGCTGGGCCTGCGCGCCGCCCCGATCCCGGCGCTGCCCGCTCCCGGAGCCGGTCCCGGAGCCGGAGCTGGGCGAGTTCCCTGACGCGGACGTGCGGCGGGACGTGCCGGTGCGGCGGGCGAGCGGACGGACGGACGGACGGTGGCGGCGGCAGGTGAGCGCGGCCCGGCCCGTGTTTTGTTTCCGTTTGTCTCCCGGCGGCTCCGCGGCCCCATTTCCGTTTCGGGTTCAAACAACGACGCGGAGGTGCCGCGGGAAGCGGGGCCCGCGGGGAGGTGGCGCCGTGGCGGCCTCTGGGATCAGGAGCCCAGTGCTGCCGCCGCGGGGCTCGCCAGGCCTCCCCGGCGCGTGGAAAATGATCCCCGCTTGTAAAAAAACATTATTTTGCCTGAAAACGTAACAGGATGTGTGGCGTCTTGTGGTTCTCCCCTTGCAGTGGTGAGAAGCCCCTCGAGTGATGTGGTCGGAATTGTGAGCCACGAGAAGGACACTAGAGGGGCTGGAGCGAGTGGGAGAAAGGCAGCCGAGTTGGGAAAGGGTCTGGAGCGCAAGGCTGATGAGGAGGAGCTGGAGGGGACTATATATTATATTATCCCTAAGTCTGTTCACAATTCCCACACAGGAGGTTGCAGCCAGGTGGGGGTCGGGCTCTGCTCCTCCGCAAAGCGGTAATAAAGAGTCTTAATCTGTGCCAAAGGAGGTTTAGGTTGGACAGTAAAAGGAATTTCTTCGCTGGAAGGGTGACTAGACATTGGAACAGGCAGCCCAGGGAGATGTTAAATGGAAGACTGGATGTGGCACTTAGTGCCATGGTCTAGTTGACAAGGTGTTCAGTCATGATTTTGAAGGTCTTTTTCAACCTAATTGATCCCGTGAATCTTGCACAGTTTGCTTCCTGATGTTCAGCCAGGTACATGCTGCACAGCCACAGCTCTCAGTTTGGCTTTATTGTCTCACTTCAGGCTGTTGATAGGGAAGTTAAACACATCAAATCTGGTGTGAGTTTCCCCCACCCTATTCAGTGCTTCACTGTTTACATCATAAAACTGAACTGGCTCATGTGTTATAAAAGCTGATCTGTAAAGGACAGGCTATCTGCTTTGTATTGGTATCTTAAATTTGGATAATACGGATGGATAGGAACCATGTGCTGCACACAGCAGAGCTTCTCTGGGGCACAAATAACTCCAGTGACTGGGCTTCAGTATCAGCTGATTATGTGTGTGAGCTCCAGAACTGAATCCCATCTCACCTGATGGGATAGCAAACATAATTCTGCTCAGAGAGTTTGTGCCCATTTCACAGTGGGCTCATTACTTAACTCCTTGTGTTCTAGGGAAAAGATGGATCTTAAACAAAGCAGGGGTACTACTGTCCTTACTGTAAAAGATACTGGAGTAGCTCAGGGCTATCACCTGGGAAAAAAGGCTCTGTTGACAGGTGCCTTCTTGTATGTTAGTGGAGGTCAGTCTTCTTCTTGGCTACCAGGTAAGTCTTAGGGCTTGTTAGGTTGAAGGAAAATGGAGAAACAAGTAGAAATCAGTAGGCTGAACCTTCTGGGAATCAGCCACTGGTTTTATGTTCCTTTGAACAAATGCTGCTGTTGTAGAGTTCCTGCCACATGAACCCTCCATGCAAGCCAGGCTCTTTGAGCCTTCTTGTCTCTCAGTAGCCTTCAGGGAAGGGGCAGGCAGTTCAGTCTCATCTAAACCTATATTCACTTTCAAACTGCATCATCCTGTAGGAGCAAGTTGCTAGACTTCATGTGAAATGCTTCTATTGTAAGAAATCTCTTTATGCTAGTATAGGGAAGACTAAATAATTTTCCCCTTTAAGTTTCTACAAACTTTAATAAATTTATATGTTTACATTATGTTGTTATTCTTTATACCCATCTCCCTTCTTTGAATGCGTGCTTGGCGGAACCATCTTTGTTCCTCTTTGTACACCTGCTCTTTGTGCCTGGGTTCCTCTTTCCTGCCTCTCCAGGGATTTGGAAATAACACCAAAAAAGCCTGAGACATTCAATCATGAACTGCCTTTCAAGAGGGAGTGAACAGTTACTAGTCCCAGCTGCCAGTTTGGAGTCCAATCCATAAGGACTTCTAAATGCCTTAACTAACTCTGTACTGCTACTCTGAGCAGTAGTATTTTCTCACTCTGTATCACTCTGGATTTAGCTGTATTGAATAATTTCTGCCAGAAACATATCGAGGTGGTGAGTTCTTTCTCTAAGTATGCACTGTTTTCTCAGTAAATAATGTATGAATATGTCAAAGAACAGAAGTCCCAACCTAACCCCTTTGTGACCTTACTGGTAAACTCTCTTCATCACAAAAAAGACAATTTACCTTTGTTTTGTGTTTTTAATCTGCTAATACAGAAAGACACTCACCCCTTTTTTATCATATCGGTTTGCTTCTTTGAGAGCTTTCAGCAAGAAACATTGCTCAAATATTGGGTTTGAAATATTTTTTTAACAGTCTGACAGATCACCTGTAACCATGTGGATGTCAGTGCATTCAGATATTTAAGCCTGTCTGCATTCTTCAGAAGTTGTGTTTCAGTCTTTCCCATTCATGAGAATAACACACAAGATTAAGTGATACAGGAATTGGATTCCTGGGGCCCTATTCAGTGGGCACTACACCAGACCTTTGGAGATTTTTATGGAGCCAGATCTGTGAACAGGTTCTGGGTTTGCTTCTAGTGGTGAGATGGTGATAAAGTGATTTTTTACTTCCTAACCTTGGTAATTTCTTACAGAATGAACCACATGGAGCACTTAATTTCTTGACAGCTGATCTTATAAAACAGTTTTTGAAGGAGATGATGAGTAGTTTGAATTTCTTTAGACAGTTTACATAGCAGCTGTAAAACATAGTTGGTTACTATTACTTCTGAGAAGATTTAAAGATTAATGCATATCCTTATTATCTTGTCTTCAGTAGATACTTTTGCTAAAGTTGGGGTGGGATAGAGTAATACCTGGGAAAGGTTGATTCCAGGATGGAAATCTTGGTGACCTCTTCTGTTTTGGATATTTAAATAGTAATAATGTCTTGCTTTTTCTCCAGTGTTTTTTTTTTTTTTCTTTCTTTCTTCCTATGTACTTCTAATTCCTACTTCTTTTGCTATGAGTTCATGATGTTAATTATTGTAAACCGTTAATATAATTTGGCATGGTTTTTATCATATGTATTTTATAGTTATGGTATATGTGCTGGTTAGTGAAAAACAGTAATAACAGACTATGTCTTTACAGACCAAGTGCTGTAATTCTGTGTTTCCCACTTATGTTCCCAACAGATTACGGTGTTCTACAGGGCATGAAAATCTGCAGTGTTAGTGAGAATGTTGTCACAGAATAGCTTTTCATTTCATTACTAACGTCCTGCTTTAGTCTGGGACTTCACAAGATATGTTCAATGTGCTCATGTTATCAGCTGTTCACCTGTGGGTGGCACGGGTGAAAAGAAGGGATAGTCAACAAACACTTGGTTGTTGACTTTATTTGCCTATGAAGAAATCATGCATCTTCTTCCTAACTGCCTCCTGCATCATTTAATTTAAAATGTTGCTTAAATTTATAAGCATCTTTCAGCCATGTTAGGAAGGTAGTTTGGATTTTTAGATGTGCTTTGCTGTAGGTGGCCAGTAGCAACAACAACAAAAAAAAAAATCCATAAATTTGAGTGCCTCTAAGAGAATCAGGCTTTGGGATCTGTGCAAATGTCTTAATAGTCCCACATTTGCTTCTAGAACATTTATTTGAGAATAGGTATAGTAATATATTCTGTGAAATATGTAATAGCTTTTGGATTTATTTTTGGCTTTAAAGGGCTATTCTGGTATTTGATTTTAAAAAAATGTGTGATAGGGCACAAAATATTGTCTAGTCTTGTTGGTCTGTGACTTAGACAAAAAATTCTTTTCTGTTCATAGCTCTGTTCTTAAGACATTGCAGCCATGACGAAGAGAGAGGCAGAGGAGCTTATAGAAATTGAGATTGATGGAACTGAGAAACAGGAATGCACTGAAGAAAGGTATGTACTGTCTTTGCTTTTTGGCAACTTTAGGCAGCAGTTAATTGACTAATTAGCTTTTCTGTTTCTTGTCTAATTAAACAGCGGTTTTCCAGAAGTTGATATGTATAGGAAATCAGTATAGTGCTGTCATGTTCCTCAACCTTAATATCTAAATCCCAAACTGTTTTGGTCATCTCTTGCTATGTTATTAGTACTTTACTTTTCCTATTTTCATGTAGTGGTATGTTGTGTGTAGTAGTATGTCTGTGTGTGTGCTGCAAACCTTTCAGCTTCAGTGGATCCTTCTGTAATTGAGATGAACCTTTCTATATCTCCAGTCCTTTGCTTTACTGTTACACGGGATTTGCACGGGATGATTTTTTTTTTACAGAGCAGAAATGATGCTGGGTATCAACTATACTATTGTTAGGGCTATTGAAATCATACATTCTGAAGTAGGATAGCTTCTGATGTAATTACCTCAACCTGGATTTTTAGTTTTGAAAGCTTCCCTTCTAATTTTCACTATTGTGTTTGGAAGCTCAGAGCATCATTTAATGCATAGGATAGTGTTGCAATCCAGTCTAAGCACAGAAAAGCAAAGAAAACTGATTCTCTGTGAATAAAACGGATCGAACCCAAAAAGGAATGAAATATACCCCAAAACTTGATTAAAATCAAATGAGCTTAGATGTTGATACCAAAACAATGGATATATTTTATTTAATACTATAAGAGGTAAAGAGAAAGAAAGAACAAAAGAAATAGAAAAAGAAGTGGTAGGTGGGGTCGGGAGAGTGACAAATATTAAGTAGAAGCATATCACTCTTCCAGGGGTCCCAAGGATATCTCATTGCTTCCCTTCA